CGAGGGCCAGATTGGCGAGTACTACGTGGCTGGCCTTTTGCTAGCCCAGCGTCGTGGATAACTTCGGATCGGTGGGTTTGCGGACTTCCACACAGCTGGCGAAGTTCAGAAGAATGAACAACTACATTGATAATCTACAAAGCTGTGAATGTTGTAGAGATGGTCAATTTCGCTGCGACTCCCGCCACTTAATGAGCGGACACAGCTGCTAGCTCCTTCGCTGAGGCTTGATGGGCTGTGCACTGGGCCACATGTCAAAGTGTCCCAGCATCTTGTGAACAGTGCTGTATTCGCTCCCGTCACCCTGTGTACAAGACGTCAACGGCACCGCTCCACATAGATCGACGGGAGACGTACAAAATCTTCGTACGGGAAACCCTTCTTGAAGGGCACGGTCCCGTCGAGGCGCTTGATCTGCTCGTCCGAGAGGCGGATCGAGAGCGCCTCGATGTTCTGGTGGAGGTGCTCGACCTTGCGGCCGCCGACGATCGGGAAGACGTACGGGACCTTCTGCATGATCCACGCGATAGCAACAGACGTGATGTGCTGTGCGCCGACCTCCTGTGCGACCCGCTCGAGCTCGGCACAGACCGCGCGCTGCTCGGGCGTGCGCTTCCACTCGCCGGTGAAGATCGTGCGGCCGCCCTCGCCCGACTCGATGCGGCGCTGCTCCTCGGCGTCCGTGCGGACCCTGCCGCCCGCGAGAACGTTCCACGGCGCGATGGCCATGCCTGGCGCGAAGCCGGTCAGTCAGTATCGGCAGCCACCGCCGCAGGACAGGTGGGACGCGGGCGCACCTTGGTGGACGCACATGGGCAGGATGTCACGCTCGATGTCGCGGTCCATGATGCTCCACTTGCCCTGGTAGATCACGAACGGCGTCTTGTGCGCGAGCCTGGCGTACGCGTTCGCGTAGGAGACGATCCAGGCGGGGGTGTCGGAGACCCCGAGGTAGAGGACCTTGCCCTGGAGCACGAGCGCGTGCAGCGCGTCCATGACCTCCTCGATCGAGGCCGTGTAGTCCCACCAGTGCACGTACAGGATGTCGATGTAGTCCGTGCGCAGCTGCTTGAGCGAGTTCGCGAGCGTGTTGTGCAGCGACTTGGAGCCGTTGCCGATGAAGCTGCTGTGCTGTACAGGCTGACCGCGCTTGTAGCCACTTGTGTACTTGGTCGCAAGGACGAGCTGCTCGCGCAGCCCGCGGGCCTCCACCCATTCGCCGATGAACTCCTCGGAGCTCCCGTCCTGACTGCGCGTCGTCCGGTCACCATGTGCGATGTCAGCGACGAAAGGTGAACGTACTAGCTGCTGGCAGTATCGATGAAGTTGCCGCCGGCACCGTAGAAGGCGTCGAGCAGCCTGAAGCTACTCTCCTTGTCCATGCTTCCCATTCCAGCCTGTGCCCATTTGTCGCCAATGCTCATGCCCCCGAGCTGAATCGGGGAAACATGGATGCCTGCGCGAGAGCACAGCAGCCTGTGGCGGCCAAGCTTGGTGGGGGGTTCAGGTGGGGCTGGAGGAGAGCTCATTATATGCAGCGGTTATGTGGCGGGAGAACTGTTGGCGAGGGAGTTGGAAGTCTGACAAGGGGCATAGTCGTGTTTATATAGGAGAGTTCCTTCATCTAGCATACGGCGTAGGCAGCTGGCTGGCAGCTGAGAGATCCTAGGCGCGAGCGACTCGAACGCGTATACTTACGCGTCTTGGCCGGCACCAGCGTAGGCATTTGACCCATGGTCAGCTTTTCTCTCGTCACCCAAACTGGACAAAGACCAGCAGCCGAGAGCGCTCGGGGGCTTGGCCGCAAGACTGTCACTGATATGACAACGATCCTGTGATGGGCGACCTGTTCCCACAAGCGACGGCAATGCGCGGCGCGCGTGGTGAGGGGGTTACGAGTCCCTGCGGCAGGAGCAGACAGCGCAATGAGCAGCCATCAATGGAGAGAGCGACTACTCTGATCTCGAGCAGCAGAGGCCAGCGGTCACAGTGGTCACCAGTCTGGTTTGCACCGGATACTGCGCGAGGAAAAAAAAATCGTCACGGGCCGCCCCGAACGCCACAAGTCGCTGACAAAAA